CCGGGCCTCTAGTCCTATATAATAAAAGGCTAATATGCAAATCGATCAAATGGTGGAATGACCAGTCGCTATGACACACACTGACCACCAGGGGGCAGACGCTCAATGCAGGAGCTGCCCCCTGGTGTCAGTATGCTCACACAAGGGGATCACCGCTCAGCCAGAAGCCAGGCTCATGGCTGGCAAGTGCAGCAGTCTGTCTCCACGGCAGCACTAAGGATGTCCAACTGTAGCTTAAGCCATGTGACGTCAGTCACACATCCCCCGAGGCTGGGCCCCCCCCCCCCAAGTGCATGAATTTTGTGCACTGGGCTTCTAGTTATTAAATATTGTCAGGTAACTTTCCAGAAAGTGTACCAATTTATAAGGCCACTGTATACTTTTTATAATTTAGTGTGTTGTGATTTATAATTTTATAGACTAATATGTATTAATAGAGTCTTATAATGGTTTTAATTGGCATTTTAAGTACTACTTTCACTGAGTATTTCACTGTTTGTGTTTTCTGTGAATTTCCTGTCCATATTTTTTGCCATGTGACCACCACACAGGCTTTTTCACCCATACCTGCCCACAAGGATTTAAAATTGTGATCATATAGTACCTTCTTTGAACAAACACAGCTATTTTATTGGGAGGGGCAGATAAGTATGACATTAATGAAGGTGCTAAGCTTCTAGATGGCCAACTTTACAGCATTTTTCATAGAGGAAATGCAGATGATAACTGTGGCTCAGAGAATGTCACCGAGTTGGGATATTAAGAGGGAAAGCTCAGGTAGTGGGTGGGGGGTGGGGTGGGGTTCAGCTTACCCTGTGGTCTTTGCCCACAAACTTGAAGACAGGGACCTGGAAGTGCTTTGCTAGGTGATCCCGTGATGTGTACTGCTTCACGGAGTCATCTGAAACACAGCTGAAAGTAGGGCAGGGTGGCACGTAAGACTTGATTGCTTAAGCAGTGGTGGAAAAACAACCCAGGCCAACGTGTTTGGTCCAAGGAGAGGGAAACTGGGTGGAGGAGGCTGGGCTGCGCTCAAGCTTTTTGAGAATGAAGGAAAAAGGAAATTCCCTTCAGACCCAGCCCTGCTCATTAGCACTGTCTGTCCCAGCTGTCAGTCACTGTACCCACAAACTGGGCACAAGGACCTCCTGTTAAGTCAGTGTACTGAAGTATTAGCAACAGCAACAGTATTTATTTCAAAGGTACCTTTTGTATTTTCATCCGTAATATGTTCAAGGAATTCTGCATTCCCATACTTTATTATTGGTTTGAGAAGGCCTTTCTTTAGATTTCATAAATATTTATGAGTACCTAATAGATAGTCACCCCTGAAGGGAATTCAAGGGTGAGCCTACCCCAATTCATGCATCAAAGAGCTGCATAAAGATCCAAGTTTCTTAGAGAATAAATAACTGGTTCTATTGGGGAAAAGTCATTCACTTCCAAGTTGTTTTAATTCTTCTTCCCAAATTTAATACTAAGTTGTAGCTTGGCAGGGTTTTGGGGTTTTATTCTCAGATCTACTGCTTAAAGTGAACTCAGGCTCACCTCAGGGTTAGCTGGGGGAAAATAAGTATTATGGATTCTCCAGTTTGAGGCCAAGGTTTAGCATTACGAACCTTTTCTCCTTGAAGATGAAAGGCTAAGGGTCAGACTTGTATTATCTTTTCCATTATGAAGTCTAAGTGAACTTTCTTTTTATAAGTATATTTTTCTTCTTTTGGATACCTAATAGTTCCTGTCTACCAGGCCAGGGGGGATCAGATGAAAAGCCCGTGAAACTGGATACCTGCTCCTTGTGCTGACAGGCCACTTTCTAGGAATTGCTAATTGCTCTTTCAGTGCAGTGAAAAAGCCCAATAAAAGTGTTTAGAAACAAGGCATCTTGACTTGTATTTCTATGACTATCTTATGCCTCTGAATTGAAGAGGACCTAAACATATAATGAGTTTCTATTATTTCTTGTGTTAATTTTCATTTTTCTTAGGTGAAATTAATTTTTATCATCTTCTAATTATGTTCCCTAATAAATCCTATTGCACATCTAATCTGTGCAATACACTCTGCTGGGTGCTGCAGAGGATATAAAGATGAATAATATGGTCTATGAAATCAAAAGCTTATAGTCCAATATTTATTATAATAATGTAACAATATTAAAATGGCACTTTCACTAAGTGTTTCAGCATTTTCAAATTTTCTTTATCTGAAAGTAGTAGGGGGCTGGGAAATTGGGAATAAAAAAATAAAGGCCCTGGCCAGGTAGCTTAGTTGGTAAGAGCATTGTCCTGATACATCAAGGTTACGGGTTCGATCCCTGGTCAAGGCACATACAAAAATCAACCAATGAAGGCATAACTAAGTGGAACAACAAATTGGTGTTTCTCTCTCTCTGTCTCTCTCCCTTTTTCTCTCTCTCTAAAATCAATTATAAAAATAAAATAAAATAGCCCTGGCCGGTGTTCTTAGTGGTTAGAGCATTAGCCTGCCCACTGAAGGGTCACTAGTTTGATTCCCAGTCAAAAACATGTTCCTGGGTTGCAGGCTCACTCTCCACTCCTTGTTGGGGTGTGTGCAAGAGGCAAGCAGTTGATGCGGCTCTCTCATGTTGATGTTTCTTTCTCTTTCTCTCTCCTCCTCTCTCCCCCCACTCTCTATGAAAAAACAACAACACAAAAAAGCAATTGAAAATTATATATACTCAGGTGAGGATTAACCAAAAAAAAAACAACCACAAAATAAAAATGAATTGAGATGTATTTATAGTGTAAATATACACTAGATTTCAAAGACTTAGCAGTCTAAGTAAAATAATCACTAATACATTTTTTATTGATTAGATGTTGAAATAGTAATATTTTGGAGAAACTTGGTTGAATAAAATATACTATTAAATTTAAAAATAAATAAACATACTACACTTTTTCCTTAAGAGAGAAAATGAGGCAGAAAGAGCTATTTCTGGGTAACACATTGCAGATAAGACCCAGGACAAATTCTGGCTCTTGATTTGGTGTTTATTGTGATTAGATAACGCTAGTCCTATCAGCTTTAAGTTCATGTGCTAAAAGAAAGACCAATGATATCTGACAACCCAAAGAAATTGATCATCCAAAAGTTGCCCAATATTTGATTTTGGAATTCAATAGAATCTTTTTCTGGAGATTAACTTTCTAATTCTACTTTGCCTAGGCTGGTGTGAAATTATTTTGCATTCTCAGAGCATATATCAACTCAAACTAGAGGGAGGTGAGTCGTGTGTTAAATATCAGGGGAAACCAGCCTCATTTAAATTTAAGCTGAGGACAATGAATCATCAAACAATTTATAAGTGTAAGTAAACTACATTATGTTTATTTAAGGGCTCTGCACTATTATGATAAATACTTATTCAAAGACTCATTAGACTTCATAGTTACAGAAAACAGACTGATTACTGTCAGAGGGGAGGGAGGTTGGGGGGCTGGGTGAGAAAGGTGAAGAAATTAAGCAAAAACAAAGAGAGACTCATGAACACAGACAACAGTATGGTGATTGTCAGAGGGAAGGGGGTGTGGGAAGAGGCAGAAGAAGGCAAAGGGGAGATAAATGGAGATGGAAAATAACATTTAAAAAAAATAATTCATTATGCAAATATTCAGTGATCCTCACTGTAGGCTAGGCATTGAGGCAGAAGTAGAAGGAAGGATGGTTTCTAGTCAGGTTGGAAGGAATCCAGGAAGGCTTCATGGAGGAAGTAACCTTGCTGAATCGTGAAGGACCAGTAAAAATCACACAGGAAGAAAGAAGACTGCAGGCAGAGGAAAGAGCAGGCGCAGAGGCAGGAGGGTGTGAGGAACAATAGAGTTTGGGACTTGCTCACAGTTCCCTTTGGCCTGAGCAGAAACTGGAGAGGGTAGAGGTCAGAGGGGGAGCACAGTGAGCCACGCTGAGACCAGGATTTTATTTTGAGGGATTATCTCATGTGCCCCATTACTGTAGTCCCATTACTGTTCTGGAGATGGGACTGTTTGCCTGTTTACTAAATTGGCCTACACAGCTGTGTCTTTGAGTTCTTGCCTTCTACTTTTTAAGCATTTTAATTTCTTCCACAGCTTTCTTTTTTCTGCTTTGTATGCACTGAGGGCTGGAAAATTAAGTAGCACAGCTTCTTAGAACTGTCTGAATTTTAAAAGATGTCCTTAACTGAGAGTCTGAATAATGAATATATTAATAAACTTCACAAGCTTAATTGAGGTTGCAGATTACATGTTTTCCCAGTAAGTGAGGAATGATTTTACATTTATTTTTGCAAAGGAAATATGAGGCAGAAGAGAACTCTTGATGTTAGGGAAATGCTCACTATTTTGATGGTAGTCATAGCTTCATGAATATATACAAACTGTACACTTTAAATATGTGTATTTATTGTATGCCAATAGTACTCCAATAAAACTGTAAAAAAAATCAAAAAGGAGCCAAAATCCACTCTTCTCCTGAAAGGAAATCAATTCCCTAATCTACATAGCATTGAATATGTGACTAAAAAAAATAAATAAAAAAGGATACTTCTACTTTTCCTTTTAAAACTTTCTGGCGATCACTCTAAGATGGCAATAAATCCGAAAGACTGTGGGTCCCTGTGAGACCTGCCACTGGGTCCACAGCAGCTCAGAATGACAGATTTCCATCCTCTAAAAGCAGCCAAGGGGACGGCAGGAGTCTGAAGCCAGAGCATTCCCTCTGGTAAACAGTTACCAACCAAAGGAAATCAAGAGCCATTAAAAAGTTTTCAGCAGGGGTGTGACAATCTGTGTGTTTTCCTTTTGACTGGCTACCCAGGGACCCTGAGATTTAGGAGGCTGTGCTGTTAGGTGGCTGTATTAGCTGTCCCCTTGAAAGATAATGAGGGCTGGAATTAAGTCAGTAAGAGTGGAATAGAGAGAATGAGGTTTGGGCTTTGTTATTATTATTTTTAAATATATTTTTATTGATTTCAGAGAGGAAGGGAGAGGGAGAGAGAGAGAGAAACATCAATGATGAGAGAGAATCATTGATCAGCTGCCTCCTGCATGCCCCTTACTGGGGATCAAGCCTGCAACCTGGGCTTGTGCCCTGACTGGGAATTGAACCATGATTGCCTGGTTGACATGCAACCACTGAGCCACACCAACTGGGCTTTTTTTTTATTTTTATATTTTATTGATTTTTTACAGAGAGGAAGGGAGAGAGATAGTTAGAAACATCAATGAGAGAGAAGCATTGATCAGCTGCCTCCTGCACACTCCCTACTGGGGATGTGCCTGCAACCAAGGTACATGCCCTTGACTGGAATCGAACCTGGGACCCTTCAGTCCACAGGCCGACACTCTATCCCCTGAGCCAAACTGGTTAGGGCTGGGATTTTTTTTTAGTTTCTCAGTTGAAAATCCCTTAGCAAGAGATTGTTAGCAGCAGTGGTGAGAGATGTGGAGAAGTAAAGGCAAAGCAGATGTTTCCAAGGGTCTATTGGGCCAGGTAGTGATGTGCACGGCAGGAGGCACACTGCTGCGATCTTACTGGGCCATTTCCCTTTACGCTGCAGCTCCCAACCTGCCTGAGATATGCCCCCTGACGTGAGGACAAGGAGGACACTGATGAGCTGCCACTCTGAGTGTGGGTTTCAGTGCGCACACCCTGGGAATGTGAGCAACGGGTGTGATAACTGCTGAGCTTCCAATGATACCTTGAGACACACACGGTTCTTAATCCAAGGAGCATTAGGAAATATGGAAGTCTCCTTTGTATAAAGCAAGCTAACAAAAGTACATTTGCTTGATCTTTCGTCTCCTAAAAGCTACCAACTACTTCTTCATCAAACCAGCGTCTTAAAAGAGGCGTCTACATTGGCTGCTTCCAGTTCCTCATCCCCTCGCACTTGTCAGCCCCCACCTGGCACTCACGTTCTGCTCTCTCTGAGCAGGTTAATCAATCCCACAGTTTTGATCACAAACAGGGTGATTCTCTCTTTTATCTCTGGTCCTGACCTTGTTCCTGGGTCTAACTGATAGGCACTTCCCAATGCCCCCTGAACTTCTCGTCCTGTGCATCCTCCTGGCGTTTACAATTCAATATTGTTATTTAGAATTATCACACTCAGTATTTTAACCTCAAATCTGCTTTTCTACTTATATCCTCTTGTCTTGATTGATGGCATCTAGGTGGCCATCTGAGCCAGATCCCATGGAGTCATTTTTGACTCTCCTCTCCCTCACCAGTTTCCACCTCCAAAATGTCAATAAACGGTTTCTGAATTAATTAATTAAGAGCTTGCAAGTGCGCTGAGCCATTCTGGGAAATGACTGAGTATACTGGTGCACTTAGAGGTTGGATGTGAACTGGGAATAATAACTGGTTTAAGCAGCATAATTACCCATCCCGGATAAGGTAATACTTCAGGATCTCGTCGATCTTGGAAGTGGGGGTGGCAAAACAGCTCTCCACCAAGCTTTCCAAGCCGTTCACGTGCACCAAGGGCTCAATGCCAAAGTAGAGGGAGTCTCGAAGCTTGAGGGTGGGCAACGCTTCCCGGTAAGGCTCTTCAAAATCGTGGTCCTTGAAGATCTCCAGAGTGAACGGGAAGATGCCGTGACTGCGGCCCATGATTTCCAGCGGGGCGTTTCGAAGGTTGGGAACGTATCCTTCGGAAATGGTGTACAGGCGCGGGAACTCGCAGGTCACAGGGATCAGCAGTTTGCTGGTTCGGATGATGATGTCCCCGCTGCTCCCTGGGGTCTGCTTGGGTAGACCTGTCACAAGGTTGCTGGCCACAATCTTGTCATTTACCACCTGAGCCAGGCCAGGGCGAAGAGAGGAACGAGATTTTACATTCATTTCTACAGTTTTCCCCCCCTCCTCTTAATCATAACAATCTCCAAACCTCAAAACACATTAGAAATTTGGTTGCTGAAGCCTGAAGCTTTTAATAATTTTTTGCATACTACTTCGTGGTCAACCCACACATTCCTTTGAAATATTACTCAGAAAACCCGAGCTATGCAGAGTCAGCAAATTCAAAGCTCGTATGTTTTAGGAGAGAGCAGCTTCTGTGTGTTACTTTTTCTGTAAGTCTAGACCTGGTGATCCTGCTGCAGCACAACCTGGTGCTGACCTCATCCACACGCAGAACTTCAGCTGCTACTTGATTTTCAGTTCTTTATGTCCAGCCTCGTCTGGCGCCTCACGGGGCATTTCCATGCTATTGTGCACAGATAGAATAAACACAACTTGCCTAACGTGGGACCGCCTTCTCCTGGAACATCTCCATATCTCACCCCAGGTCTTATTAGCGCTCTGATTTTTTCTTCATCAGATTCAATAAAAAACCACTTGTTTAACTAAATGATGACAAGGGCCTCTGCACTGCTCCCCAGGATCCAGGTCCTCTTTTCCCTCCTTCCTGCACACGTCTGATGTCATCACGACAGGGCCTGCTGAACCCCAAGTCCTCACCCTAGCGCACATGGCAGATCTCTGGGAGCATCTCTCTTCGTTTTCTCTCCCAAAATGAATTCCTTGCCAGTCAGGCCCCAGTGCCCTGCATAAGCGTAGGGATTCCCGTCTCTGGGACTGGCTCATTTGTTTCCCACCTGAAATGCCCGTTCTTCTGCTCTCCGCCTGTCAACCACGTGTCAACCACACTCATGCTTCTGCCCCAGTTCAAATCCTACTTGTCTTGGCTGCTCCAGGGTCTGTCCCTTTCTGGCTTCCTACAGCCCCTCTCACCTGGATCACTATCTCTTTTTTTATATTTCTTGTGTATTGTCATCTCAATACTACTGTATATGTTTCTAAAAACCAGGAATCTTTATTTCATATCCCTTAGGCTCCCCAGCAGAGGGATGTGCACAGATTCCTGGGTGAAAGTGCAAACCTTTTGCCTCCACGTGGTTCAATACTTGGACTCATTGCTGCCTCATAAATGGACCACCATGTGTACCAGTCGCTTTCTTCATGTGAGACAATACCGGTGCTGATGCACTCAGGACAATGTCTACGCATGTTGGAGGTCAGGCAATTTGAGAACAGAAATAGTAGAATTTGTTTTAACTTTCTATCCCCATGGTGCCAGGACCACAGCACATGCGCAATAATAGATTTGTTAAATGAGTGGCATTAGATTTTTTGAAATCCATTCTTTCATATGGAAATAGCTCCTCTCAGACAAGCCGTACCGCATACCTCTGTCAACTACCTCCCCAACGACCGGCTTTTGGTCATTCCCCAGTGTCCTCCAGGAGGAACCTACATTGACCACGGTGCCACACGTCTTGAGGGAAAAGAGGATGTTGACGTGGGTGCCATTGGACACTCCTCGGCAGGAGGTGTTGGTCAGGAAGAGCTCCAGCCCGCCCACCAGGTCCCTGGGGACGCTCACTTCGATGGTGTTGGTCTTGCACAACACGGGGACTGCGGCAGAAAGGGGCTGCTGTTAGAACCGAGAACCTGAGGGAAGGCTTCTAGAAGAATTAATTTCACCATCATGCAGCTTCAGCTTTTTGTTCTATCCTCAAGGAAATCTATGAGGCTTGAAACAAGTTGGTGAATAAAACCAGGACTCTTAACTCCCAAAGCTGTGGTCAAATAATGCTCCTGAGTATATTATCTCCCAAATGAGGAACTAGTATGTTCAAGTTTCAATTCGACAGACATTTCAAAGAATGGCTAGCATAACTCCATGAACTGAGGCACCTGGAGGATTAACTTTTAGCACAAACACAATTTATTGGCAATTCAGAAAACGACTGCTTGGATACAGGCTTAAATTATATAATGGTCCTGCTTTGACTTTACTGTTAATTACTGCTCCATAAAACAGGTAATAAAAGCAGTGTTGGTGCACTTGGGGAGGAGTTCTAAATTGTCTTTGTACTGTTCAGTAAACCATAACTCTGGCTATAAATTGCACTTGCACTGAATATAAAAATGTTGCTTTTCCTCAGTGTTCCCATGTTCACTTCTTCCAACTCTACAAATACCCTAAAAGGAATATGTATGGGTACCGTCTGGAAATATCTGAGGAGAATATCAATATTTGAGGACATACCATAACAAATGGTATAGTAAAAAAAAGTCAGAGATAGTTGCTCATTAAATATTTGCTGGATGAATAAAATAATGTTCTGGACAGAAATAACCAGATTTCCAGAAAACAGTTCTCAGAGGATTATTGAGGCTCGTATTGTAAATGCAGGGAGAAGAATCAGTTCTCTAGGGCTTTCCACTTAGTTTCACAGCCCAATAATCTGCTAGAAAACAGAAGAACTGCACCGATGTCTTACACGTCTAAATTGATTATTAGTCTTACAATTAGTAACAGAAATTAGAGGGGAAAAAATCAAAGATGAAAAAGCAAAGGAAACCGAATGATCTAGAAATCCCGTTTCTGGGTATTCATCGAAAAGAATGAAAAGCAGGATCTCAAAAAGATATTTGCACACCCACATCCATAGCAGCACCATTCACAATGATCAGGAGGTAGAAGCAACCCAAATGTCCATCCATGAATGACTGAGTAAACAAATGTGGTATATCCATACAATGGAATATTATTCAGCCGTATAAAGGAAGGAAATCCTGTCATATGCTACAACATGGATGAACCTTGTGGCCACTATGCTAAGTGAAATAAGTCAGTCACAAGAAGACAAATACTGTATGCTGGGGGAGAGGGAAATGGGAAGTTATTAAATGGGTGTAGAGTTGCAGATTTGCAAGGTGGACAAGTTCTGGAGATGTGTTACACAACACTGTGAATATACTTAACACTACTGAACTATACACTTAAAATTGGTTTGAATGGTACATTTTCTGTTATATATTTTTCACCACACTTTTTAAAAAAGCAAAGTAAAATTGTTTTGTTTTGTTTTTTTGTAATCTTTTCTTAGGTCTTTTCTCTTTTGAATGTTTCCAGGATGAAGATGCAGGAACACACACTGCTGAAAGAGCTGGCGTTCTAAAAGATGAGAATCTTGACACATCTGGGTGAGGAAGGCAGGGAGATGGGACGGGGAGAGGAAGCATGAATCAGAGCAGAGGTCAATCCCTGCAAGTACTACCTTGGCAAGTGTGGTTGTCCTCAGACAGCACCAAGCCCCGCGGACATTCACACTGATAGCCCTGCTCAGTCACAAGGCAAGAATGGCTGCAGCCGCCATTGCTGTTGTGGCATCCTTCAATGTCTGCAATAAAAACCAAAAGAAAAGGGGATGATCTTGGAGCCCTCTTTTCCCCGAAATTCTGGTTCTTGGGATGGCACTTTGCATTGGGGCTTAACCTAACTCGTCACAGTATCACTGAGACATGTAGGAAAGCCCACAAAATACGGGTATTAAATGTTATAGCTACAAAGAGCAATCTTACAATACCCACAGCTCTACACACTTAAGCTGGTCATTTTGTAGAATTCCCTTCAATCTGGATTTGTCTGTATTTTAATGGTTACTATGTTTGGGGGAAAGTCATTTCTTAATTGCTGTAATATTTAGTTTGCTCAATTCAAAATTCTATGAGAGTATTATTGGTGTAAAAGGAACAGAATAGAATTTGATTGGACCAGCTAGATGGATCGGAGTTCTTGCCAGTTGGTTGGATCACCAGTCCTTCTGTATCCCCATCGCTGCTCGAAACCACTTGTTATGTTACCCGCCTCTATTACCTTGCTACTCCCGGTGTGCTCCTTGGAGTCAAAGCATAGGTGTCACCTTGAAGTTAGTTATTTAGAAATGTCTTGGCCCAATCCCAGACCTACTAAACCAGAATCTGCATTCTAACAAGAACCCAGGTGATTTGTGGGCACATTAAAGTTTGAGAAACACAGAATACCCAGTTTTATTTTCCAAATATGTGGCTCTTTACCTCTTGCAAAATGCAACTCCCTTTTGTGAAACCTTGGAGACAAAGTTAACAGTGACTTCCATCTGCAAGCATCCTTGACGATGATGAACCCCTCTGTCATTCCCTTACACAGCCGCACTGTTACTCTCTTCTGACACTGGGCAGTTTCATGGGCAGCAGAGAATAAGCCAATGGCCTGGGCTCTCGATTTGAATCCTTCTTACCCATTCTCACCTTCGCAAGTCTTGCCATCACTTCTTAGCACACGGCCAGCCCCACACTCACAGCGATATGAATTTTTGAGGTTTACACAGATCTCACTACAGCCACCATTGTTTTGTTCACATTCATTTTCATCTGTAGAAAAGAAACACACCATGTACATGGTGCTGAGCAACTTAAACTCTCAACCCCCTTAGCAGAATCTCCACATCTTTTCAGTTCCTGCTGATACACTTCCCACAGCCCAACCCCCTCGCTGAGATCCAGTACAATCACTTCTATCAACCAGGGCTCCTCAACCAAGTTATTTGTCCATCTGCCCTCTGCTGAAGCAGAAGGCACCTACGCCCTCGCCAATTCCCTCCTAAGGGCAAAACTGTGGGAAATAAAGTTCCTTTTGTCGCCTACGTTCACCTATTTATTTGCATTGGTGAGAATCTCACTTTCTCCAAAGAGCTCCTGAAGATTTGCCAAATAAATAAAAACTTATAAATCAAACCATGTTCTAAAGGCATTAAAGGAACGTACATTGCAGAAGAAAATATCTGACAACATTTCTGAGGCAGTCTTCGCCATACATGAGCAACTGCCCTCGAAATCTCTCTTAAATGTTGGAATATTCTCACATTGTACTTCATGATTGTTAAGTCATTGTAAGGATCTGATGAAAGAAGGGACTCTTGCCATAAAAAAATGCACAACTGGCAATAAATGTCGACCCCCTTCCTTCTACAAACAAAAGAAAAGGAAGCGTGGGAGCTAACTTTGTCATGGCTGGGACATAGGACCTAAGCCAGGGAGCGCGGTTTAAACACCCCCGAGGTGGCAGGAAGCATGGCCTTGGGCCCAGGGGCGGAGATGAGCAGGAACTGAGACCCTGTCCGGGACCCTGGCAGAGGTATCCCCATAGTGAGTTGGGGAGAAGCATTTGCTGCGAGGCCCAGGGAGGCAGTAAGGAAGCTCTCGGCCTGAAGCTCTAGGAGAGAAAAAGCCTCCAGAAACCGCGGGAGCCCCACGCCCAGTCCTGCCAGGGCTGACGTGTGAACTTACACTTCCCACATGGTGTGGGGATATTGCAGCCAGAAATGGATGTAAAACTTGGCCTGGACTGTGAAGTTTCTGTGATGCCTGACAGAGCATTTGGAAAACTGTTCTGCAGTAAAACTTCCATAAACTCAGTGATAAGAATAGAATCTCCCCACCCACTGCCCCGAAAACAACAATTACATCAGAAAATGGTTTGCCATGAAATACTAACCATGAGGAAATAATTTCCTATAAGAGAGAGTTGGCAAGATAACAAACAAGGGGCTTTGGATTGGAGATAAACAAAATGATCCAGAAAAATCCATAATACGAGGATTTTAAAAAATCATCAAACAGATAAAAGGAAGGATAGTTGCCCAGCTGGTGTGGCTCAGTGGTTGAGTGCCAACCCATGAACCAAGAGGTCCCTAGTTCAAGTCCTGGTCAGGGCACATGCCCAAGTTGCAGGCTCGATCCCCAGTAGGGGGCGTGCAGGAGGCAGCCGAATGTTTCCATATATCCCTTTGCCTTCCTCTCTTTAAAAAATCAACAAAACATGTTGTTGTTGTTGTTGTTGTTGTTTTTAAAAAGATAGCAACCAAAATAAGTGTGTAAAAGGATAAGACAGAATTGAGAAACAAACATGTTGAACATGTTAAAAATATAGTCAATGAGATTAGAACCTTCAGTGGGTGGTAAGAGGCACTGGCGGCCCCCCTGGAGGTGGCCACACAAGTGCTCAGGCCGGGCCTCTGTGGCAGGGCTGACTTGCTTACCTCAAGACTGATTGTTTGATGTGAAGGAGAAATGAACTTCTATTATTTAAGCCATTGTTACTTAAGCCATTGTTATTTAAGCCATTGTTATTTGGGGGTCTGTTGTTATTTACAGCCTGACTTTGATCCTATGCCCCAGCAATTCCACTTTTATGGGGTCAGGTATAATTTTTATGTTAATTTTAAGAACACACAAAGCACTGCTACATATTGTTATGGGTACATATATGAATAATAAAAGCATAAAAACAGGGACCAGAAGAACACACACTAACTTCAAAACACTGACTCCCCCTGGAGGGCGAGAGAGAAAAATGAGATGGACTGAGATGATTTTACTTGTATCTGTAAAATTTTATTTAAAAAAAAGAGAAAAACTTAACCATAGTCAAATCTGGGTACATGAGTATCTGTTATATTATTTTCCTATACTCTTCTCTCTGCCTGAAAAAAATTACATAATTTAAACTAAATAATAAAAACTATATTACATCAAAGAGAAAATAAAAACTAGGAGAAAATTGACACATGCACATAAACTTTGCCTGTAATTTCAGGGAATTCATGATCTCCCTGAAACTGATGGACAGACTCCAGGTAGGATCTGCGGTCTGTTCCCTAGGTACTGGTAGGCAAAGGTGTCCAAGATAAACTGTTAAGCAAGAGGCATGTATGATGTGTATGATATTTGACCTTTGGTGTAAAAAAGAGGGAAATAGATATTAATATCTATATTTGCATTTTTATACCTGCCTGAGAAAACACTGGAAGCACGTAAGAAAATAATATAAGAGTTTACTTGGAATGGGGTGAGGAGGAAATGGGACAAATGGAGAGAGCTAGACATTTCACTGTATACCTTTTGTGCTATTTAATTTAGGAACTATCCTATATAATAAAAAGCTAATATGCAAATTGACCGAACAGCAGAATGACCGGTCGCTATGATGTGCACTGACCACCAGGGGGAAGACACTCAATACAGGAGCTGCCCCCTAGTGGTCAGTGCGCCAGAAGCTGGGCTCACAGCTGGGGAGCGCAGTGGCAGTGGCAGGAGCCTCTCCCACCTCTGCGGCACGCTAAGGATGTCCGACTGCCAGGTTAGGCCCGCTCCCCACCATCAGCTGGACATGCCCTGAGGGCTCCCAGACTGTGAGAGGGTGCAGGCTGGGCTGAGGAACCCCTCGAATGCATGAATTTTGTGCACCGGGCCTCTAGTTTAAATATATTAGCTATTCAAAGTTATATTAAAATAAAGGCAAAAAAATGAATGAATTAGATGTATTGTGGTGATCACATTGTAAAGTATATAAATGTCGAATCCTTATGTTGTACATATGAAACTAACATAATATTGTATGTCAATTATATTTAAAAACCAAAAATAAGAGAAATGAATGAAAGAGTCCTGCCTTTAAATAAAAGCCAAATATTTTCCAACAGATGTGTGTCCATGCGTGTGTTGTGGGAGGGGAGAGGGGAAATTACAGGAACCATTGTCTCCTGCACCCAAACATTTTAGCATGAAGTCACATAGTCAAAATGGACTTTGTAAGAGCGCTGACAACTGTTGTGGGCGGGCTAAACATGCTCCATGCAGTGATTCCCAAAGTGGGTGCTACCGCCCCCTGGTGGGCGCTGCAGCGATCCAGGGGGGCGGTGATGGCCACAGGTACATTCGGGGGCGATGAGTAACTGCTATTAAAATTTAAAAATTAATTTCCAGGGGCTGAGTAATATTTTTTCTGGAAAAGGGGTGGTAGGCCAAATAAGTTTGGGAACCACTGCTCCATAGCATGGTCAGTGGGGCTCATTTAGGAGACTGAAGAACAATAGCTTTTCTTAAGCCGTTTATATGCCTTTCGCTCTAATTCCCTATCCCATTCTAACCTGCTACCGTTCTTCTTGAGAAGGTGTGGGGCAGGCCTCCCCTTTCTCACTAGACTTCTTTTAAGTCCATTTGAGTCTGAATACAAAAAGATTCATAACATTAAAGGGAAAAGAAAGGATCTTCAGTCTTGGGTTTTTCAACAACAAAGCAACAATTAAACAACTCTTGATTTCCCACAAGCAATCCAACTCCTCTTTCTTGCCACTCAGAGAAACCAAAAGTATATTAATGAAGTTGTAGGAGTCTGTCCTTAGATAATTGTAGACCAAAGCTATCCAATAGAAATACAAAGCAAGCTACACAAGTAATTAAAAATCTTTCTTGTAGTTATATTTAAACATTTCTTAAAAGAAAATGGTAAAATTAATTTTAATAAATACTTGATTTAATCCAATATGTCCATAATGTTTCATCTCAATATATAATCAATATTAAAATTATTGAGATATTTTACATTTTTAAAACTAGTCTTCAAAATCCAGTGTATATTTTATGCTTATAGCCTGTCTCAATTTGGATGCTAAATTTTCATGAGAAATACTTGATCTGTATAGAGTCATAAAATTTACAGTTGGCTACTCAAGTTATTCCAAATATTTTCAGTTTTTCAATGACTGAATCAAGTATCAGTTTTTAAATTAAAATTAAGTAAAATTAAAATTCCGTTTTTCAGTCACTCTATTTCAAGAGCTCCATAACCACTCATGGCCAGGGACTCCTGTATTGCACAGAACGATTCTAGACTACACCTAACCGTGCCATAAATCTGGCTTAAAGCTCTAGTTATGAACTACAAGGGCAAACACCATTCCAGGTGTTCTGAGGCACAGACTGGAAAAACGATGGAGGTCTGAGTCAGGAAGAGTTTTTGATTTGCCCCTTTGATCTTTAAATAGTCTGTTTCTACTTCGAGATTAGTTTCTTACCAAAGCATGTCTGCCTGTCGGGGCCCAGCACGGTCCCTGGAGCGCACCTGCACTCGCTGGTATCCGAGCAGCTGCCGTGGCAGTCCTCATCACAGATGTCATAAAAATCTATGGAAGGATAAAGATGACCTTTTGTGACAGACTAGGACCAGAGGACCCTCATTCCTGAGTTCAATCATGGGATACTAGCTTCTAGCCAACACCCAGAGAACTCTCATTGTTCAGGGATTACATAAACCCAATGGGAAGACACACCACCCAGGAACATCTTTTGTCATTTAGATCAATGATTCCCAGCTTCAGATCCACAGGCCCTTGGTTGGCCATAGATTCTGCAAACCTAATACCTCACAAATATGAGCTATGGGTTAAATAAACATTATCTCATATCACATAACCCATGGACACAGACAATAGTGGGGTGAAGGCCTGGGAGGGGACAGGAGTGAGGAGGAGAGAGTCAATGGGGGAAAAAGGGGACATTTGTAATACTTTCAATAATAAAGATAAATTTTAAAAATAAATTAACATTATCTCCTACTTTTCTATGTACTCTATTTTTTAAATATATATAATTTGAAGAGACTGAGAAAACAAAAATTTATTTAAAAGTATTACTGACCTAAAGTAGCTTCTTCCCATATAATTTTTTAAAAAAATCAATGGATACTAAGCACAATGCTATCACATGGATGTCTAATATATATTTAAAAAGGGATTCTCCATACTCAAAAAATGTTGGAAATCCTCTACTTAGATAACCTAAATCAACATTTCATTTTCTAATGACTTGTTCAAAAGGAGTGAAGACAAAATAAAGCAAAAATGATCAAAGGCATAGCCCCTTTCTAGTCTCCAGAAATTTTTCAGAAACTGAAGAAGAGAACTCAGAAATCACAACCTGGAGGTATATGTGGCCCTAAATCCGTGCTATTCGGACTCTGAGTTTCTACCATAACTGAATTTCCTATGGCACTTTTCTCCTTGATGCCTTGCAGGGGAGGATAAAGAGCACAGTGAAGGTACTCACGGCCACAGTAGACATGAAAGCAGACACTGGGCTTGGTCAGACGATACACGTAGTAGCCTCCAGGGCAAGCCTTGACCTCCACCGTGGTGTTCCAGAGGCAGCAGTTCCTATTGAAGCTCGCACAGGCCTGGCGTTGCACGATGCCATCATCTTCTAGAGGGTGGCTGCCATTGAGCCAGACAGGTGCGTGGGTTCCACAGTGGTTTTCTGGTATGCAAAAGGTGGGCATGGCATCCCCCGCCATGCCCGTGAAGCGGTACCACTCCCCATCCACATGGTTGTCACATAGAGGTGGACCTTGAGATTCATCCAATTGGTGGTCAGTGTTCCTCCAGGGCTCATTCAGACTGATGTAAGCAGAACAAGGATCTAGGGCTGGGAAGGAAAAGGACACCCAGAGGCACCTTGTGCTATTTCAGATCACAGAGACAACATCCTGGGTCCACCCTCTTGGTCCTGCATTTTGGCTTTCTGGGGTTCAGAGAGAAATAATCTAAAGTTCCAAAAAGTAGCTGTTTAAGATTCCCCATGCTGACTTACACATGTTTCACAAATGCCTTTTCTTAAAATTACTTCAAATCTATCTAAGGTTCAGTGTCGGCACTGGGCTAAGTTTTTCATCCATGGTAATCAATTGATGGAAAGAGAGTTGGTCAGAACCAAGGAGGTTAGGGTTGCAGTCTCATTGACCCCTGCTCTGGTCAGACAATATTCTGAGTATTGTGTCCACACCTGGAGGCTATACTTTGTGAAAGTAATGGACAAACTTGGTATCCAGAGGAAGGTGGCCAGACTTAGAAGGAAGCCTAAAATTATTTACTGGGGAAGAAGCTGAGAACTATAGTTTGGAGAAAAGAAGACTGAAAAATATGCATATCACTTTTCAAACATCTGGACTGGGCTTGTGGAAGAGGAATTAGGTATACTGTTACAAAAACAAGAACAAATTGTTATGGGGAAGCGCATTTTGTTCAGTTACCCAGTAATGGAGAGGAATGGATGAGTCTTTGGAAATTTTAAAAAAATATTTGGATGGCCATTTGTAGGCAAGATGGAATTTTGCACTAGCGGGAAGCTTGATTTGATAACGAATGTGTAAAACTCATTCCACTGAAAAGGAAAAGGCCTCTGGCACATGTCAGCTGCTTTGAAATACACAGAATACTGGCAAGTAGTTACCAAAGATAGTTTCAAAGTGGCTATATTCCATCGGCTTATTGAAAATGTTGTAAACTTTATATATTCACCATTAGCCATGGCATCACTGTGGATAATAGAGTAGAATTTTCAAGCATGCATTTTTAGCACGTGGACAAATGTCTCATTAAAAACATTTTAATGACCAAACACATCAATATCCCCAATATTCTCACTGCTTCCCTCAGTTTCAGAGAAACATTGAATTAATGTAGGCAAATTGTCTGTACGAACCTATAAAACCCAGAAGTCCTAGAAAGGAGACCAGCCATAGAGTACTGTTTTTTTTAATGCATGTCAGGCTGACCTAACTGATATTGTAGACAGGGAATTCACATGATGGCTGATACATTTTGTGGGCAGGAATTTCAGTTTTAGCAAACAATGCATAATAATTAAATGTAAATGGACCATGATCAGAAAATCTAAGTTGTCTAGAAAGTATTTTGGATTTTCGCAGTCTACATTTCAAACTCAAGTTTGCTCTCTAAACTTCACCCGTATATAGAGGACTGTGTAGCTTAGTGCTAATGGCCAACGAGCATATGACCATCTGAGACAGGAAATAACTAGGATACTGCACTTTCTGGAAATAACACATTTGCAGAGTTGCCCATGGCAGGAGCAACCGTCTCCTTTACCAGGTCCCTGCGGGACCCCGACTGAGCCCTAGTTTATAGTTTGCTGTCCCCCTTCAGGGGAAGAAGTGTCCTCATTTAGACTCTCTCCCTCTCAAAAGGGAAAAATTCCTTCATCAGCTCTCCCAGCTGTGGGTTTTCAGGGAATTTCACAGGTGATCATAAATTCATAGAAATATTTGGTTCATTTCCTTGGCTCTAATTTTATAAGAAATGGTTAGGTACTCAACTTGTAATGGCTTTTACAGACATTCCTAAACTTCTCTCAATAACTATTTCATGAATTATAAAGTTTTTCCTTAAATTCAACTGTCATTTCTTGTGGCGTTTGTTAAAAATTCGCTTTCTCTCCTGTTGTAGGGGAGATATGGCACAAACAGGAAAAACTTCCCTACGATCTCCTTGCAAATAAATAAATGACATATTTTAAAAAGTTACCCACCCAATATTTCTAACATTAAATATACACATTCATCTTTTCATCTCCAACCCCTTTTAAGGCAGCACTTCCATCCTTTAATCAGCTGTTAATTCCTGGGTTCAGTCTCTCATCGTGGAGCACAGAGCTTGGTACAATGCATATGGCACCCTAAATTGTGGACATATGTACCCCTCAGATGGAAGCGCTGCAGGAAGAACAGCCCCGTGGGTTCCTTTCAAATGTCGAGTCAGGAGCACCCTCTGCCCGCCCCCCCAACTCCCTCTTCGCCCTCTCGCCTGCCAGCCGCCCTGCTGGCCACCGCTCTGGGGTCCCCACTCCGGGGACGCAGGGGACCGCTGTGCACCCCCAGGGTCGGCACCTCACGGTGACCCAACGCTGAGAGATAATGTCAAGTCCCGCCCTTCGTTCCGAGGTTTGCAGAGCCAGAGCCTCCAACCCTTACATCCTCCTCACCCAGCCGCCCCTCCCATCAGGCTCAGTGCTGGAGCCCCTCTCTCCCCCTTCCTTCTGCCTCCCTCCCTCCCTGCCTTCTTCCCCGTCAACCACTTGGCTTCCCTCTTCCCCACCTCCTCTCCTTTTCCTTCCCTACTTCTTTCCTCTCACTTCCCTCTCCAACCAGGACAAGCATTCCCCGACCCTCCCCCCACTACCCTTCCCCTCCTTCCCCAGTTCTCCCTTGAGCACCAAGTGTGTGTGTGTGTGTGTGTGTGTGTGTGTGTGTGTGTGTGTGTGTGTGTGTTAGAAGCCTGGGGAGGGAGAGGTGTATGATTGGGAGGTGCAGGAAGTGTGTGTGTGTGTGTGTGTGTGTGTGTGTGTGTGTGTGTGTGTGTGTCAGAAGCCTGGGGAGGGAGAGGTGTATGATTGGGAGGTGCAGGAGGCACTGAGGAGAGTATGAAAGGAAAGAGAATGGGAAGGGGAATGGAAGTTGCGGGGAGGATGACTTTTGCTTAAGAGGTTCTTGGTGGTTCTAGCAGCAGATTCAGGGCGATTAAACTGAGCGCAGCCCCATCTTTTTAAAATAGACCATTAAAACAGCTTCAGACTTAGAGAATAATGGAGAAGATGGTACAAAGAGTCCCCCTCCCCCACCTGGTTTCCCTATTATGATACATCAAACGTGGTACCTTTGCCACAATCAATGAACCAATGTTGCTACATTATTATTAACTCGAGTACATAGTTTTTTAGATTTTCTTCAGTTTTGCCTTGGTCTTTCTCTGTTCCAGGATTTCATCCAGGGTACCACATTACATTTAGTTTTCATGTCCTTGGGGGCTCAAGCCTATTTTTTTTTTTGAAATTTGAATATGGACTAGATATTAGATCAGGGGTGGGCAAACTTTTTGACTCGAGGGCCACAATGGGTTCTTAAACTGGACTGGAGGGCCGGAACAAAAGCATGGATGGAGTGTTTGTGTGAACTAATATAAATTCAAAGTAAACATCATTACATAAAAGGATACGGTCTTTTTTTTTTTTTTTAGTTTTATTCATTTCAAACGGGCCGGATCCGGCCTGCGGGCCGTAGTTTGCCCACGGCTGTATTAGATAGTATTGAGTTATTGTTTTGGTGGTTTTTTTCAAGCCTATTTTTAATGTGTATCCATAAAGATGCTAGAGCAAGGCCTGAGTTCCTCTGAAGATGTAAATCAGGGTCAATAAAATACTGAGCTACTCAAAAGAAGGACTGTTCTCTCCATCTCAACCTGCCCTCACACTCTCTTCTAAGTAGAACTTAAATTCTATTGGAGAAAGGAGAGAGACATTTATTAGTAAGTGGAACTGCAACTTTGCCTTGTTGGCCAGTTTTGTGCCAAGCTTGAGGAGAGACAGTTTACGATTCACTCAGTCTGTGCAAAAAGTCCTATTTTCAGATGTCAAGACTACGGAGTTTGATTTACCAGATCTGTACCTTTCATGGGGCTATAGCTTTCAGTCAGTCCCTGGAAATGATTAAAGAAAAAAAAATCTATCCTTAACTCTAAAAATCATTGTTTTGCTCTTGAAGTTGTAGCTATAAAAGTGCCTTGCACATAAAAGTTTAGAAGTCCTTTTACACATACTCCAAGCCATATTTAGCTAGTGGAAAGCTGCTGGATATGGCTGATCCATGGAAATTTTGGCTGCCCAGACAAGGGACTAAATGGAACATGAAACAGCAATTCTCTGAAAATATATGCTCATAGGTTATCAATGACTGGACCCAGTATTGTAGATACTGGATTCTAGCTCTTAGTAACCTGTACATAACAGCAATTTCCTACAACAAAACGCTCAGTATGCCAAGTACTTGATACTAGACTCACCCATTGGTGCTGCAGGTGTAATTGTGATGAGGAGGCAGGTGAGAAGCAGGAACTGAGGCATCCTTCTGAATGAGCCACCAGGCACCGACTGGAAAATCCTCTTAATTCCAGTTTTCCTCTGTCCCCTTCTTTAAAAACAAAAGCCTGGGGAAGAAAGACTTTTCAGCACTGGTCGGGGCTTTATCAGAGGAAAAGGATGAGTGGGATAAGGCGTCCATTGCTCTGGCCTTGACCCCAGAGAGAAACATTGCTTTACACTGTCAACAGGGTTATTTTATTGATATTTTTCTTTAGGGAAAAAATACTCACAACCCCTCATCCTCCTATTGTTTTCTCTCAAGAATTCCCTGCAATGCGGCCTTCAGTATCTTATCCAGAAGGGGTTCTAAATGAGGGACATCCCCTCACGTCAGAATCTTATTTCATGATGCTGCAGCCATACCACTGCGTGCTAAATGAGAAGGGGATAGAGCCAAATTCATGGAACTGGTCATTAAGAAAGGAGTTTATAAGAGCACACAGGAAAGTAGTAAGAACAGGTGTGGAATGGGGACGATAGTCTCTTAAAGCAAGCTCCTAAGTCTTTTATTATGGTCTTTGGTCTCAAAAGTTCCTAAAGAGCCCTGGTTGGTGTGGCTTGGTTGGTTGGGCATTGTCCTATGCACCAAAAGGTTGCCAGTTTGATTCCCAGTCAGGGCACATGCCTGGGTTGCTGGCTTAATCCCCAGTGGGGGGAGAGGGGGAGACAGGAGGCAGCTGATAGATCTTTCTCTCTTTCTCTCCCTCTTCCTTCTTCTCTCTCTAAAAATCAATAAAAATATATTATAAAACTTCATGGAGAAAAAGGTTTAATTTGTGCTTTTATCCATTCAGGCAACAATAAATACCTTATGCTTTCATAGTGTCTTTCATAGTGTCTACTAAAATAAAATAGTTTAGTATTTTTTATTTTACTATTTTCATGCTAACATAGGGGCAGGGGCTTCAAATCTAAAACTACTCATTATTAACAATACTGGAAAGTAAGTGACAAAGTTTACTAGAGTTTCACTTTTAGACAAAAGCGAGAAAACATAAGGACCTGTATATTAACATGCCCCAGACATGACCTTGGTGATTACAGATCTGAAGGTTGCCAGCTACCTGACATTCCGCAGTGTGGACACCTGAACATTGGCACACACATTACAAAAGGTAATTTTCAGGGCTAGGGAAAAGCTGTTTGTTAGTTTGTTTTTAAATACTATATTCAACAAGGATCTGAGAAAAAACAAAATTTTTCTCTCCTGGTTTTACCTTGACCAGATACTCAGGGCTTCTAGTGTCCCTATATTTCTTCGCACCTGTTTCTTTTCCTAATAACCAAATTTCTAGTGACTGGGAAAGGAATATTATCATCTTTAGGAAGTAGTCCTTAAACTTGTCATTATAATACCTTCATAATTTTTACTATGCTAAGCGGCATTCAAATTACTGTGGCCCCTTTCCGGGCTTCAGTTCAATGAAACATTAATGCTCATGGTCAGATGCCACGCTGGTCACTGGTTTTTGACACTGAAGGTAAAAGTGGTACCTGCAAGCACAGAGTTTGCAGTCTAGCAAGGGATTTCCATCGATCTAAGGTTGGAGTGAGGTAGTTTATCGCTAATGCTAGCAGAACACAGGCAATTTGGCCATTAGTGTAAGTTGCAATGTGGTGTCAGCAATGGATGACGTTGGGGCTGAGGACTGTCTCGTTGCAGGGTAGAGCTGTTAAGGGTCAGTGCCCTTGCCAGAAAAAACAACCCCTGCAGTTTCCTGTCCCCGAGAAGCCACCGAGTGCTTCACACGGGCGGCAGAGGAACAGAGGACGTCTGCGAGAGATAAACCAGACTTGCTGCCCGGATGGACTGCCTGAGTCAAGGCCTTTTACCAGATAGCTAGCTGCTGGTTCTGTAAACAAGCATTCCCAGGATGGCAGGATTCCCCTCCCCCCCCCTTATTCCTATTTTTTTCCTTTTCAGTTGAAATGCCCTTTCATTTTGACTTTTTATGATGAAAAATTTCAAATATATAGAAAAGTAAATGATAATGAACACCCCGCGGCAATTACTAACACTGTCATTCTTATTTCATTTATACCAGCGTGCATTTCTAATATATGACCTTTCCACTTAACAGAATTGTAACGTCTCTAGTACAACTTCAAAAACTAGTAATAATCTAATATTTAATACCCAGTCCCTATTTAATTTTTCCCAAGTGTTTTAAAAATTTCTTTGTATTGCTGGTTTGAGTCAGTCAGGATTCAAACAAGAGTCATGCTAGTGTCTCTTAAGTTTTTTAAATCTATAATGGTTCCCCCCACCACACCCCCATTTGTTGAAGAAACCCCGGCATTTGCCTTATAGAATGACTCACAGTCTAGATTTGGCCGACTACTTCTGGTGGTGTCTTTTAGCCTCCCTTATCTTTTTCATATTTTCTTATTTTTCTAAAGTCTGTGCTATTATAAATTAAAAACAAAAATATGCTGGTGATACTGAAGGAATTGAAAGCATAGTGGGGAGTGCTAGAAATAGATCAGTTAGGAGGTGGGTAAAGCAATCTGCTATTCAGGATGGAGCTGAGCTACAATAACAGTTTGAGAGCCACCAGCACAAAAGAGGAACAGAAATTGGGGGAGAGGAGGGGATGAGATCATCCATGGAAAATGGGGTCCAAGATGGGGTCAGAGATGTGGGCAGAGGAAGGGGACGCTGCAAAAGAGACTGGGAGGTAGAGATTTATAGAAGGAAACTCAAGAGCAGAGTTACAGGAGCTGAGGGCAATTTTGAGGAGGAGGGATTGCTCAGTGGACGATTCATTTATAAAACATAAAATGAAATGAAATTTTATGGCGAGTCGTTTATATTCAGTAGGATACAATAAGATGAACCTATACATTTATCCTAAGGATATAACAACATTTTGGAGACAAGGAATTTGGATATATAGGAGAGCAATGAATTAAAGGTTGTTAGCTGTGATAAAAATGAATGACAACCCTTAACAGTTTTGGTGAAACTGAGTTCCAAAATCTAAGAAGTTCCACTTTTATGAGAAATCTTTCCAGATACATTGTAAAAATTCAACCTATTTGCATTTGCTCTTGTAATCATCTACTATGTGTTTACCACGGCACCCTGGCAAGGAAGATGCAACAGTACATGAGACATGATCTCTATTCTTTCCATTAGCCATACTCACCACACTGACCAGCCCTTCAGGCACTTGGTTGTGTTTGATGGCAGGATTTAATGGTGGTTCTGACATAGCTGCTCTCTTGGCCTCAGTTTCCTTCTCTTTAAAGCAATGGTTTAAATCAATGGCTTGCATCAGAATCACCAGGAGGGCTTGTTATTGCTGGTCCCCCTCCTAGTTTATAATTCAGTAGGGACCAGAGAACTTGCATTTCTAACAAGGAATGCCACGCTGCTGCTGCAGGGATCATCCCCTAAGAATCCTTTTACTTTTCCAGCTCTAAAAGTCCATGATCTCTTAGCAAAACAGCATTACCTACACTCACTAATGGATTTAACACTCTTCACTATCTCCACTGAAAACCCCCTAAAGCCTAACAGAATGTCATGGAATATGCAGACATTATTTGTTGAATGCAAACAAGAGCTTAACATTTTCAATCTTTTATTGTCTTACACTTTATAAACGTCCTGGGGATGTCTGTGTTAGGTTGCTGTAAGCTGCCAGGAGGCAGGACTATAGATAGCTAAGGAGGCCCTTTGATATCTCATACCACACTATATGCAGTCAGACATTTTACTACATGCTTTTTTCCCCCTTTAAATTTATTGGGGGTGACATTGGTTAATAACATTATGTAAATTCCAAGTGGACAATTCTGTAATACAAATCTGTACATTGCATTGTGTGCACACCACCCAGAGTCTGGTCTCCTTTTGTCACCATATATTTGACCCTCTTTATCCTCGTCATCCTTCTTCCACCCCCTTTCCCTCTGGTAACGACCATACTGTTGTGTCTATGAGCTTGTTTTGTTTGTTCATTTGTTGCTTTCTTTTAGGTCCCACATGAGTGAAATCATAGGTTCTTGTCCTTTTCTACATGACTTATTTCACTTAGCATGATACTTTGAAGATCCATCCATTGAAATGGCAATATTTCATCATTTTTTATGGCTTAGTATTCTACTGTATATATGTACCACATCTTCTTTATCCAATCATCTGTCAAAGGACACTTAGTTCTTTCCATGTCTTGGCTATTGTGAATAATGCTCCAATGAACACTGGGGTACAGATATCAAATAAGTGTTTTCAATATTGGGGGTAGATACCCAGGGGAGGGATTGCTGTATCATATGGTGGCTCTATTCTTTATTTTTTTAAGAACATCCATACTGTTTTTCCATAGAGGCTGTACCAATTTACATTCCCACCAGCAGTGTATGAAGGTTCCCTTTTCTTCACATCCTCTCCAGCACTTGTTGTTTGTTGATTTATTGATAGCCATTCTAACAGGTGTGAGGTGGTATCTCACCGTGGTTTAAATTTCTTTGATGATTAGTGACATTGAGCATCTTTCCATATATCTATTGGCTATCTGTATATCCTCTTTGGAGAAGTGTCTATTCAGGTCCTTTGATAATTTTTTAATTTGATTGTTTTTTGTTGAGTTGTATGAGTTACTTATATATTTTGGATATTAGCTCCTTATTAGAAGTATCATTTGTAAATATCTTCTTCCTTTTGATTGGTTCTATTTTTGTTTGTTGATGGTTTCTCTGCAGTGTAGAAGCTTTTTAGTTTGATGTAGTTCCATTCATTTAAGTTTTGCTTTTGTTTCCCTTGCTTTTGGAGTCAAGTTCACAAAAATCCCTCTGAGACCAAAGTCCATAAATTTAGTGCCTATGTTTTATTCTATGTATTTTATTGTTTTAGGTCTTATATTCAAGTATTTAACCCATTTTGAGTTAACTTTTGTTCATGGTGTCAGATAGCAATCTAGTTGCATTCTTTTGTAGGTGGCTTTCCAATTTTTCCAACACCATTTATTGAAAAGGCTTTCCTTTCTCTATTGTATGCTTTTGCTCCTTGGTGGAAAAAAAAAGTAGCCTATATATGTGTGGGTTTATTTGTGGGCTTTTAATTATATTCTACTAGAGGCCCGGTGCACGAATTCATGCACCGGTGGAGTCCCTTGGCCTGGGCAGCAATTGGGGCTGATCAGGGCATCTCGCCCAGTCCCGATTGGGGCTGATGGGGGCTGGCTGGCCAGGGAGGGACCGCAGGAGGGCTCTAGGGTGTGTCTGCCCCCTCTTGCTCAGTCCCAATCAGCTGGACTCCAGCAGCAAGCTAACCTACCGGTTGGAGCGTCTGCCCCCTGGTGGTCAGTGCGCATCATAGCAACTGGTGGAACAGTCGAACGAACGGTCAGACACTTAGCATATTAGGCTTTTATTATATAGGATAATGATATTAATAGTACTTATGGAGCAGCTACATGTGCCTAACCCTATGCTAAACAATAATGAGATACACTGTAGAAACCAGGGCAACAGGAATTAGGGTAGGAAGGTATTACCAAAGGTGGACCCAGACAAGGACAACTTCATGGAAGAGGATCAGACTTTTCAAAGTTGGGTAGGATTTGGTGAGTGAGGATGACAATGGCAGAATGAACAGTGAGGTGAAAGGTAGGGAGGGAAATGTGAACTTGGTGTTGGGAGATACTAGGGATGCTGGAGCCATTTTGCAGAGAGCATGACAGAGGAATTTAGACTTAAGGAGTAAGGTATTTTGAAATTATAATTCATGGGTTTCATTAGCAAAACCAGAAATTACAATAAAATTCCCTCCTTGAACCTATGACTTAAATTTATGTGACAACTAGTTGAATAGACAAGTGTGACTTACAGCTTCATAGTCCATACAGACAGGCTTTTTCTCACATAACAGAAGAGGATTTCAAACACTTAATTTTTTCCATAAAATTATAAATTTGTATTAAAATAACAAAACCATCAATTGATCATTAGTTACTAATTACACTAGGTAAACTGATATGTTAGCCATTCTTAGCTCTTGCAGCTCTCTAGCCTTGATCCATCTTCCTGTCCAAGGGAGAATTAGATCTGTTTATTGCTTTTGGTAATATGGTATTTTTAACTGTTAATTCTTCCAATCCATGAACATAGACTATCTTTCCATTTCTTTGTATCTTCTGCATTTCTTCCAACAATGTCTTGTAGTTTTCAGTGTATAGGTTATTTACTTCAAGTTTATTCCTAGGTATTTTATAATTTTTTTTGTTTCAATTGTTTTCTTCATTTCTTTTTCTGATATTTCACTTTAGTATATAAGAACACAACTGATTTTTGTATGCTGATTTTATATCCTGCAATATATTGTTTCTAATAGTCTTTTGGTGGAGTCCTGTAGAACCATGTCATCTGCAAACAGTGAGTTTTACTTCTTTATCCCGAATGTGGATGCCTTTTATTTTTTGTTGTTGCCTGACTGCTCTGACTAGGACTTTCAGGACTATATTGAATAACAGTGGTCAGAGTGGGCATCCTTGTCTTCTTCCTGATCTTAGAGGAAAGATTTTTCATCATTATATGAGCTGAGGGTTTGTCATATATGGCCTTTATTATCTTGAGGTACTTTCCTTCTATACCCATTTTGAGTGTTTTAATCATAAATTAGTGTTGTATCTTGCCAAATGCTTTTTCTGAATCCACTAAGATCACATGATTTTAATCTTTTATTTAATACGTGCTTTTTGATATGCTTTTGATGGACGAGGCAGCATGTGGCCCTTTCTTGTTTGGTGATCATTATAAATTTGACACAAACTCTTAAAATAATGAATATTTAATCTTGACTCATCCTTGAACAACTTCTGGAGTCTAGGAGACCACTGGGCAATCTAGTGGTCTGATATGATTTTCCTCTTAATCAGGAGATAGTGATAGTAGTCTCTGTGTTGCCACTGGCTTTATTATAGCTGGTCCGGTCACTTACCCTTGGGTGGCACTGGAAAATGAGGAAGCTACTGACCATCTTAGTTCAGGAAAAATCAATGAAATGTCTCTTTTAAGAATATAGGTTCTAGGAACAAATCTTTTCAAAATGGTATTTTTATAAAAATTATTTCAGAAGTAAAAAGCTTTCCACCTAGAATCACAGGAAAATAAAATAAGTTTTTTTGTTTTTCTTTTTTTGGTTTTGCTTTAAAGAATGAGATGCTACAGTTCAAAAATTGAATAAGTATTTATTGTTCCAGAAGTTACATTGATTTTATACATATTTCATAAATGATACAGGATTTTACACATGTTCAATATTTTACTATTTGTTTAAAGGACTTTTCTCCCCATCCATCCTCCCTCCCTTGCCTCCCACACATCCTGAAAGGATTTGCTCATTGCACTGTGCTGTTTCTTCGGGGCTGGGAAGTGGAGACATGCATCCTTTCATTCCATCATGCCAGTGGAAGGGGTGGTGGCAGGAGCAGCAGCAGCAATCCTGGCTGGCCTTCAACCTCTGCAAGGCACCTGGAGTCTGGGTTTGTCATTAAAAATTCTTCTTTTCATACACAATGATCCCAAAGGAGAAAGAAAAAGAGAAAGGAATCCCATGCCACAATGAGGAGGGATGAATCACGTGAAAGAAAAAAAGCCAATCAGCTGTGTGGCAAGCCCCATCTTCCTCTCCCTCCTGCCCCCACAGTAATTAAAAACAGAATATTGGACAGATGCCTTTGATTTTCAAGTGCACATGTCAACTGGAAATATGGTAGAAAATATTTGATAGAGTATAAGATTAATGCTTCTTTCTCTCAATTTAAGAAAAAATTGGGTGAAGAAGGTAGGCCGAAAGGAGCCATAGAAATGTATGCCTGTATAAAGATAAATTGCACCCTTTGTGATCCACACACTTGATTTACAACTCCTGAAGTGGTGGAGGTGGGAGGGCTCACAAACAGGGTTCAAGTGTGTGTGTCCTTCGAGACTGACAAAGCCTCCAGACGAGACAGTGGCATCTGGTGGCCTGGCCTTGAATGCTGTCACACAAGCAGATTAACAGCAATGAAATCATTCTGGTTCTGAAATGGCTACACAGACATGATTTTTAGCCACTTTGTAAACCTTTCATCTTTCTGATTTGGTAATACAGCTGAACACTCCCCCTCCAATTTGAGTTATGGAGGGAGAGTGGAATATCAATGGGGTAGTTAAAGGAGGGAAATTCTGCCTCCCCTCAAAAATTAATTAGTAAACAAAACAAAACAAAACAAAACAAAAAAACTTCATACAGTGTTGCCAATGATTCCTAGATACTGATCCAGAGCACTGGAATATAAAGACATGTAAGAAGGCTTAATCCAGAGTGTCAATCATCAAACAGTCATAAATTGGTTCCAATAATCATATGGATAAAATTAATGTAACCAACAGGGGTGGGTGGTCAGAAAAGGGGCACAAGTGGGGCGGATTCCTGTTTACTTGTAGAGGCTGGGTCCAATTTAAAGTAAATGCTAATGTCTGGCCTCAGACTCTGTTTGCCACCCACATATCTTGAGGATATGCTTTTCTGGTCTGTTTATTGACTCCTATGTCAAAAATAAGAAAAGTTAAATAAAAAAAAAATAGAGCTGAGTGGGGTGCTGGTGTGTTACTGTTTTGCTGACCTGCAAAGAAGATGCAAGAAACTAACACCCCAGCATCATTTACTCTTTCTGAATCTCTCAAATATATAACTTATTTCATCCAGGAACTGAGATGCTTGATTAAGACAATATTAACTAAGCCCTTTGAGCTTATATTTCACAAAGCTTGATCTTCAGATTTTAACATTCCTTTCTTCCCTAACTTCCTTGTTGTTTTGTTTTTAATTAAAGGTAAAAACCCTCCACCCCAACATGGCTCCCAGCTTCCACCTGTAATGTTTTAATTAAAAAGGCAATAGTTATAAACAAGTGTTCTTTCTGCTGGGATTCAGAGGCTCTTTGCAGATCAATCTTTTTCACCGATTTGTCGGAGGGGCAGATGTACTTGCAATGGGTCTCTCAGTCTCTTAAGGTCCATTTCTGCCTAAAATAGAAACAAAAGGTGAGAAAAACTTGCTAATGAAGCTTTCAATATTAGTGTCTCCCAAGAAAAGGAAACTGTCTTCCCTCCATCACTGTGTGTCAAAGAAATCATCTCAATTACTCTCAAAATAAGAGTGCCTCAGAGACCAAGGGCAACAAAGGGGGACCAGCGCCAAAGGCTGGCAGTTTCAGCTGTCAACAGAGCCTCCAGAGGGACCTGCTATCAATAGGGAGGACTCAGGCTCAAGAATATGGTGAGCACCTGATGCACCTTGCTGTTGTGCCCTTTCACGAACCTTTGCCTGGAGCCAGAAGTTTAATTTGGCTCCTCAAAGACTTTTGTTGTGTATCCAATAGTTGTTTAAGTTCTTCAATAGCTACAGACTTTTAAAACAAGGATTTGTAGTCAGTCAATGCAGCACTTTTAAAACTCACACAGGCTGGACCCTCACTCCTGAGGAGCTCAATAGGCTTAGGGTGGGGCTGCAGCATCTGCATGTTTAATAGCTCCAGGGAGGATTGTGGTGCAGTCCCTCCAGCTGAGAACCACCACCCAGAGCAACAGAAGACCTGAGTCTACTTAGGGTTAAGCTTATTCAAAGCACAACTCCATTACCAATAAGGGACAGAGAAGACAGAGAAGGCAGAGAAGGTCCAGAGAAGGGGATGGCAGAGCTTTTGGAGACTAAAAAAAACACACCACACCTCTAAAGTCATAAAAGACTATGGAAAATAAGATGAGGATTTATTCACCAAAATCTAATATCTCAGAGTGAGGAAGGCACACTCAGAAATCTGAAAGTGGTAAAGATTATGAAAAATAAAATGTATCAATCTTTTTTAAAAATATATTTTTATTGATTTCAGAGAGGAAGGGAGAGGGAGAGAGAGATAGAAACATCAATGATGAAAAGAATCATTGATTGGCTGACTCCTGCACGCCCTCCTCTTGGGGATCAAGCCCAAAACCCAGGTATGTGCCCTTGACCAGAATCGAACCTGGGACCCTTCAGTCTACAGGCCGATGCTCTATCCACTGAGCCAGATCAGCTAGGGCTGTATCAATCTTTTTTTTAAAAAAATATATTTTATTGATTTTTTTACAGAGAGGAAGGGAGAGGGATAGAGAGTTAGAAACATCGATGAGAGAGAAACATCGATCAGCTGCCTTCTGCCCACTCCCTACTGGGGATGTGCCTGCAACCAAGGTACATGCCCTTGGCCGGAATCGAACCTGGGACCCTTGAGTCTGCAGGCTGACACTCTATCCAAGACAACTCTAAAGAAAGGGCTGTATCAGTCTTTTTAAAAAGCATCTTCTAGTTCAATAATTTCTCACCTGCTCTGGGCAAAGATTCCTAGTAATCTCTCTCTCTTATCTGGATTTTATTTTTGCCCCATTGCTACCACACTCTTTAGGTGAGAAACTTCTGTGCCAATTATTGAAGAAAGATTTAAAAAGAGAGAAAAGTAAAAAAAAAAAAGACAACTCTAAAGAAACAAAATGAAAAAGTAAAAATAGGTCTAAGAAATTCAATATGCTAGTGTTAATAGGATAGCTAGGACTCACCATCTTTTCACCTGCTTGTATTATAAGACTTTTAGAGGTGTCTATGCTAAAATAGTGATTTATATCAAACTAGAGGCCCAATGCATGAAATTCGTGTAAGAGTAGGCCTTCCTTCCCCCGGCTGCCGGCACCGGCTTCCCTCTGGCACCCGGAACCCAGGCTTCCCTCCGGCCGCTGGCAGGCACCAGGAATCTGGGTTTCCCTCTCAGCCCTGGCTTCGTCCAGAAGGTCATCAGGTCTAATTAGCATATTACCCTTTTATTATTATAGCTGAGGAATAATTTATATAGGAAGAAGAGGGTTGGGTCATTCTTTCAGTTTACCCATTGAAGTACTGTGGTTATGGAGAATTATAATAATAATGCCAGCCCTGGCCAGTTGCTCAGTGGTTAGTGTCATCCGGCAGACGGATGGGTCACAGCTTTGATTCCTGGTCAAGGGCATGTACCTCGGTTGCAGTTCCCCAGCCCTGAGTAGGAGCAGTTGCGGGAGACAACCAATCGATGTCTCTCTCTCATGTTGATGTCTCTCTCTCTCTTTCTCTCCCCCACTTTTGCCTCCCTTCCACTCTCTCTAGAAATCAATGGAGAAAATATCCTCAGATGAGGATTTAAAATAATAATAATGATAATGCCATACAAAATGGGGCTGAAATTTATTAAATTTTATTTTTGAAAACTTACCTGAGCAATTGCATCCTTGAGTTGATTATATTTCTCTAGGTCAAAACGTGTCTTTTTGGCTCCTTTATGGAAAAATAATAAGTATTGTCTGTCTCTGGCTTCTGGATAAACATACTCCTGCAAAATAAAGGAGAAATTAAATTATTAGTCCTTAGCATACCATCTTCACAAAGTAATCATTTACATACTGTTGATAAGATTCAACACATATGCATACATATAAAGCAGGGGTGGGGGATGTCTGGCCAAAGCATTAGGGGTGAGTTAATTAAATATCTGGCCCTTGGCAGAAAAAAGTATATGCTGACATGTGTTGTATTCAATATTTAATTATTTCATAAACATTTCTATTGGGAAACACACACAGAAGAGCACACAAACTAAAAATGTGCATCACAACGAATCATCACATACTGAACATGCTAATCATTACCAGCTTTAAAAAAAAATAGAACACTGCCAACAACCCAGAAGCTCCCTTCCTGCCCCTTCCCAATTACTAACCCTCCTTCCTCCCAAAGTAATAAATATCTTGACTTTTATGATAATTACTTTCTGGTTTTCTTTATAGCTTCTCCATTTAAGCATCCCCCCCCACCCCAACTCTACAGCTTAGTTTTACCTGTTCTTTGAATTTTATAAAAATGAAGTTAGATAGTGTGTATATGACTACTTTCACTCAATGTTATGTTTATGAGATTCATCTTTTGTATGTAGTTGTAGTCTCTTCATTTCTCTTGCTATGTTATATACTATTGTATGTCTACATCAAAATTTAGTTATCCATTGGACTATTGATAGACTTTTGAGTTGTTTCTAGGTTTAGGCTATTATGAATAATGCTGCCAAGAACATTTCTGGACTTATCTCTTCTGTTGGGTATATACTTATGAGTAGAAATTCTAGATCATAGTTTATGCATATGTTCAAATTTAAGAAGTGATATCAAACAGATTTCTAAAATCATTGTATCAATTATACTCCCATCAGCAGAGTATGAGAGTTTCCATCACTCTACATCCTTGTCAATGCTGGTATTACCAGTTTTTTAAACAGGAATTCTACTGTGAGTGCTGAAGTACTACCTCATTTTTTAAAAACAGCTTTACAAAGATATAATTTACATACCATACAATTCACTCATTTAAAGTATAATATTCAATGGTTTTTAGTATATTCACAAAGTTACACCACCATTACTACAATCAATTTTAGAACATTTTCATCACCCCCCAAAGAAGCCCCATACTCTAATAGTTACTTCCTATCTTCCTCAACACCTCCAGTTCTAGGCAACTACTAATCTACTTTCTAACTCTATAGATTTGCATATTCTGGACATTTCATATAAATGGAATTATTCAATGTTTAGCCTTTTGTGTCTGGCTTTTTTCAAGGTTCATCCATTTGTGTCATGTATCAGTACTACTTTTTATTGCCAAATAATATTCCATTGACTGGATATACCACAATTCATCCATTCATCAATTAATAGACATACAGGTTGTTTCTACTTTTTGACTACTACGAATAAGGCTCCTATGAACATTCATGTACAAGTTTTTGTGTGCACATTATGTTTTTATTTCTCTTAGAGATATACTAGAGGCCTGATGCATGAAATTCGTGCAAGGGGCTTGGCCCTCACAGCCCCAGCTTCGTCCAGATGTACTGCAAAGATCTCCTCCCAGTCTGTTCACCCTCTTTATGGTGTGCTTTAATAACAGACGTTTTTAATTTTAACAGTCTAATTTATCATTCTTATCTTTATGGTTATCATTTTTCATTCTACTTAAGAAATAATTTCCTTTTCCACAGTAATTGAAATATTCTTCTATATTATCTTCCAGGAGCTTTATTTATTGTGTTACTTTTCATATTTAGATCTACAATCCATCTGGAACTAATTTTGTTTACAGTATAAGGATGGGGTCAGTTCATTTTTAATATGGATATTCAATTATCCTTGCACCATTTATCAAAAAAGACTTTCCTTTCTTTGCAGTGCCATCTTTTTAAAATCAAAAGTTCATTTATGCTGTTTTCTGCATTCTCTCTTCTATCCCTTTGTACTATTTGTCTATCATTGTTCCACTATCTTAATTACTATAGTGTTATAACTAAAGCTATATAGTCTTCCATATCTGATAAAACAAATTGATTTACCTAGTTTTGCTTCAAGAGTTTCCTGGCTTTTCTTAGTCTTTACATTACCATATATATATTTTAGAAGCAGCTTATTCAAATCTCTTCCCCCATCCGCAAATCTGTTGCGTTTGACTGGGATTGCACTGAATCAAATAGATCAGTTTGGATAGAACTGATTGACATTTCTGTAATACTTACTTTTCTAGTCTGTGAACATGCTATATTATTCCATTAAGTCTTCTTTAATTTTGTGTTTTTACTGCATAGAGGTCTTTGCATAATTTATTTCCTGGTATTTTTAAGATGCATCTTTTATAAAGTTTCATTTTCTAACTGTTGCTGGCATATAGTAAAGCAACTGATTTATGTATATTGACCTTGTATCCAGTAACCTTATGAAACTCACTTAGGGATTCTAACCAATTATCTTTACACTAGAGGCCCGGTGTACAAAAAATTTGTGCACTCGGGGGGGTCCCCTCAGCCCAGCCTATGCCCTCTTGCAGTCTGGGACCCCTCGGAGATTGTCCACCTGCTGGCTTAGGCCCGCTCCCTGGGGGATCGGGCAAAAGCTGGCAGTCAGACATACCTCTGGCAGCCCGGCAGCCCTCGGGGGATGTCCACTTACCAGCAGGGAGCAGACCTAAGCTGCAGTCGGACATCCTTAGTGCTGCTGAGGAGGCGGGAGAGGCTCCTGCCACCACCACTTACCAGCAGGGATGTCCACTTACCATCAGGGAGCAGACCTAAGCTGCAGTCGGACATCCTTAGTGCTGCTGAGGAGGCGGGAGAGGCTCCTGCCACCTCCTGCTGGCAGCCATCAGCCTGGCTTGTGGCTGAGCAGAGCTCCCCCCGTGGGAGCGCACTGACCACCAGGGGACAGCTCCTACATTGAGCATCTGCCCCCTGGTGGTCAGTGTGTGTCATAGTGACCAGTCATTCCCAGTCGTTCTGCTGTTAGGGTCAATTTGCATATTACCCTTTTATTATATAGGATAGAGGCCTGGGGCATGGGTGGGGGCCAGCTGGTTTGCCCTGAAGGGTGTCCCGGATCAGGGTGGGGGTCCCGCTGGGGTGCCTGGCCAGCCTGGGTGAGGGGCTGATGGCTGTTTGCAGGCTGATCAAGCCCCCCCCCCCCAGTGGGGACCCTCACCCCATGGAGGTTTGGCCAGCCTGGGTGAGGAGCTGAGGGCTGTTTTCAGGCTGGCCAAGCCCCCCGGCGATGGAAGCTCCCAGCCTCTCCTTTTTTTCTTTTTTTCTTTTTATTCTGGCATTTATTTACCTTCTATAATTTAAACTTTGTAGCCTTGAGTGGAGCTCAGAGCCAGCCACGGCAGACAGGAAGCTTGGCTTCCTCCATCACTGTGGTAACCAAGCCTCCTGCTTTCTCCAGCTCCGTGGCTGCTGGCCGCCATCTTGGTTGGGTTAATTTGCATATAGTTGCTCTGATTGGCTGGTGGGCGTGGCTTAAGGCATAGCGAAGGTATGGTCAATTTGCATGTTTGTCTTTTATTAGTGTAGATGTTTTTGTATTTTTTTAATGTATAAATCTATTAATCACATCAGTTTTCTTTCTTTCCTATCTTTACAGCTTTTCTTTTTCTTGACTTCTCTGCTCAGGGATGATTTGTTTGCTTCTGCCTAGGACTTGTGAGCATTAGCATTCTGGAGTGACCAGAATTCTAGGACTACTTCAATCTAATTTTGGGATTGAAATGACTGAAGATGAGCTACAGTCTCTGAGAGAACCTACTTTAGTGATCCCTGGACACCAATTTCTATGGCTTTGATCCTTTAGATCAGGGGTGGGGAACCTTTATTCTGCCAAGGGCCATTTGGATATTTATAACATCATTTGCAGGCCATACAAAATAATCAACTTAAAAATTAGCCTGCTATATTTGGTCAAACATTTAATTAACTCACCCCCAATGCCTTGGAGGACCAGACCAAATGATTTCTTGGGCCTTATATGGCCCGTGGGCCAGATGTTCCCCACCCCTGTTTTAAATTATCAAAGATGGCTCAGTTTCTTGGCCTCTCAGCTTTACCATCCTTAATTAATGTAAATCTCCAGAGGAATAAGCAAACCTAGTATCAGGTTCACTTTCCCAGCACTCTACTTCTTCAGGTCCTTGCCTGGTAATTGTTTCTATCTTGTTGGCTCTCCCATGTCCACAGTCAGATGCATTTTACATTTTGCCTGCTTATTTTAATTTTTCCTAATGGGAGTCTGATTACCTAGTATGCCATACTAGAAGTAGAAGTAAATATTCAATTATTGATGATGACAGATAATGGATAAATACTAACTGAAGGGATAACTGTTGGATTAAAAACTTGAGGGAAAGCCCTTTACTTTCATCTAAATTGCAGTTACTAGGTTACTTACCTATCTTTGCTTAGAATGTAACTATATACACAAACTTAAATTTATTCAATTTTATTCTATGCTCCCTCTTTTGGGCAACAAGCATTTACTAAGCAACTATGTTCTAGACCAGGGGTGGGCAAACTTTTTGACTCGAGGGCCACAATGGGTTCTTAAACTGGACCGGAGGGCTGGAACAAAAGCATGGATGGAGTGTTGGTGTGAACTAATATAAATTCAAAGTAAACATCATTACATAAAAGGGTACGGTCTTTTTTTTTTTTTTAGTTTTATTCATTTCAAACGGGCCGGATCCGGCCCGCGGGCCGTAGTTTGCCCACGGCTGTTCTAGACTCTATTTTAGAAATTTGATGATTTGATAATTAGTGAGAAGAGATGCAGACAGCTTGGGAAGAAATTCAGAGAGGAAGATGGTTGATAACACAGGGAACAGAAACAATAAACCAGAGTAAGATACTAGAAGTAGGGGTGGAGAGTGGGGCTAAAAACAGGTGGAGGAGCTAGCCCTGAACAGGGAAATGATACCTCTTATTTGAGCGTGAAGGAAATAGGATGACAGTAAGTACAAATATTGTTA